TATGATATCTCTGATATCTCTTTAGCACGACACCACTATATAAGTAGATAGTATTCCCTTAGATAGGAGCTTTGTGCTCAATTTAATATAGTATTCTTTACAATACTATAATGTGTTACTTAGAAAGCCTTTGTGTCTAATCCCCTGCCTCCTCTGTCAAGCTAACCTTACATAAGAAACCTCTGTGTCTTCTATCCTTTAGACTAACGTGCATGTATAACGAAAGTGCCAAACAAGCGAAAGTGCCAAAATCATGCGGTGACCAACCCCCCCAACTAAATGTTAAATTCCTCCACAACAAAACATGCGCCATAAAAATGATGAAAGCAAATTAGTGCTAGCTATCCAAGCTATGCAAAGCAACCCAAATTTGCGCCTTCGAGTTGCAGCTAGGATCTATTCCGTAGACCACTGCAAGCTACGTCACCGTTTACAAGGTGTACCTTCACGACGCGATATCCAAGCCAACTTACGGAAATTAAGTAACCTAGAGGAATCAGTTCTTGTTCAGTATATACTTGACTTAGCTGCTAAAGGGTTCCCTCCTCAGTTGTCTATTGTTGAAGATATGGCAAATCGACTACTTGCAACACGCGACGCGCCACGCGTCGGGTCACGTTGGGCTTCAAACTTTGTTAAGCGCCATGTAGAGCTCCGGACACACTTCCAGCGAAAATACGACTACCAGAGGGCTAAGTGCGAAGATCCAGAAGTCATTCGTTGCTGGTTTGAGCTTGTATGGAACACAATTCTAAAGTATGGCATCAACAATGCAGATATCTACAACTTTGATGAGACTGGGTTTATGATGGGCGTCATCTCAAGCGCAACGGTAGTAACGAGCTCAGATGGGCGGGCAAAGGCAAAAAAGGTGCAGCCTGGCAATCGGGAATGGGTTACAGTAATCCAAGGCGTTAGTTCTCAAGGTTGGGCAGTGCCGCCATTTGTCATTGTGGCAGGTAAAAACCACCTTGCATCTTGGTATGAGAATAGCGGATTTCCAGTAGATTGGGTAATCGCTGTTACTGCAAATGTCTGGACTACAAACGAGAGAGGTATGGATTGGATTCAGCATTTTGAGAAGCACACAAAGCCCCGGAGTGTTGGTGTTTATCGCTTGTTAGTCCTTGATGGTCATGAGAGCCACCACTCAGACAAGTTTGAGGAGTACTGCAAAGAACACAACATTATTACGCTTTGTATGCCTGCTCACTCTTCCCATATACTCCAACCACTTGATGTTGGCTGTTTTGGCCCATTAAAGAGAGCTTACAGTCAGCAAATTGAAGATATGATGTGGGCTCATATTATTCACATTACTAAGGATGACTTCTTTCCTGCCTTCCACGCTGCATTTAACATTGCAATGACAGAAAGCAATATTCAGGGAGGGTTCCGAGGTGCTGGGCTTCTTCCATTTAGCCCTGAGAGTGTAATATCTACACTTGACCTTAGGTTTAAGACGCCAACACCTCCAACCTCTCGCCCAAACACCGCTCAACCATGGGTTTCTCAGACACCAAATAACCCAACTGAAGCTGTATCACAGTCTACTTTCATTAAAAACCGAATTGCGCATCATCAAAATAGCTCTCCAACCTCAATCTATGCAGCTGTTGACCAGTTTACAAAGGGTTCATCGCAAATAATGCATCAATTAGCATTGTTAAAAGCAGAGAACCAAAACCTGCGACAGGCAAATGAAGTGCTAAGCAAGCACCGGAGAGCTAAAAAAACACGACTACAGCAAGGAGGATCACTTAGTCAACAGGTAGCACAGGAGCTACAGGACGAGAGGGACGTTGTGCAGCAAGTAGAGCAAGAAATAAGGGCAAGTAGTGGTCGGAAGCCAAGGGAAGAAACCCATGCACGTCGCTGTGGCAAGTGTGGTGAGACTGGACACAATGCGCGCACTTGTCAGATTGTAATAGACAGGTCTGAGGAAGAGGACTCCGAGTAGTTTTAATTAATTTATATTGTTGTGGTGGATTTATCGCAATTCTTATGGGGTAGTCGCGATATTTTGGCACTTTCGCTTGTTTGGCACTTTCGTTATACAGGCACGTTAATCATAATCATGATTTATAATCATGACTATAATCTATACCTTATTAGGCTTAGTTATTGCCTAATTGGGTATAGTTTAGATAAGCGATAAGATAAGATAAGAAAAATGAAATGTTTCTAGAGAATTCTACAAACTTCTACAAACTGCTAGAGAGTTTAAGATGCTTATAAATGCTTATAAATATATCTATATAGAATATTCTAGAATCTATAATCTAGGTATATATAGAGCCTATAACTCACTCCTTAACTAACTTTTCTATTAAAACAAAAGCAACAATAACAACACTTTATACTATCTTTACTATAACTATGTCTTCTTCTGAGAATCAATATAATAGCCCTAGCTATATTCTTCCTTTAGATAACCTTCCTTATATTTTTAAGGAAGGGCTCTTTATTAGAGAGTTAAATCCTATTATTGAAAATAAAGAACGAACACTTACTATTAAGTGTACACAACCTAGTTGTAGGTAAGTTAACTTTATCATACTTAATTATATACTTTATACTAATATCTATTAGGGCTATATGGAAAAATAAAAAAATTGGACATTCTACAAGTAATTATATTACTCATTAACGTGCATGTATAACGAAAGTGCCAAACAAGCGAAAGTGCCAAAATATCGCGACTACCCCATAAGAATTGCGATAAATCCACCACAACAATATAAATTAATTAAAACTACTCGGAGTCCTCTTCCTCAGACCTGTCTATTACAATCTGACAAGTGCGCGCATTGTGTCCAGTCTCACCACACTTGCCACAGCGACGTGCATGGGTTTCTTCCCTTGGCTTCCGACCACTACTTGCCCTTATTTCTTGCTCTACTTGCTGCACAACGTCCCTCTCGTCCTGTAGCTCCTGTGCTACCTGTTGACTAAGTGATCCTCCTTGCTGTAGTCGTGTTTTTTTAGCTCTCCGGTGCTTGCTTAGCACTTCATTTGCCTGTCGCAGGTTTTGGTTCTCTGCTTTTAACAATGCTAATTGATGCATTATTTGCGATGCACCCTTTGTAAACTGGTCAACAGCTGCATAGATTGAGGTTGGAGAGCTATTTTGATGATGCGCAATTCGGTTTTTAATGAAAGTAGACTGTGATACAGCTTCAGTTGGGTTATTTGGTGTCTGAGAAACCCATGGTTGAGCGGTGTTTGGGCGAGAGGTTGGAGGTGTTGGCATCTTAAACCTAAGGTCAAGTGTAGATATTACACTCTCAGGGCTAAATGGAAGAAGCCCAGCACCTCGGAACCCTCCCTGAATATTGCTTTCTGTCATTGCAATGTTAAATGCAGCGTGGAAGGCAGGAAAGAAGTCATCCTTAGTAATGTGAATAATATGAGCCCGCATCATATCTTCAATTTGCCGACCGTAAGCTCTCTTTAATGGGCCAAAACAGCCAACATCAAGTGGTTGGAGTATATGGGAAGAGTGAGCAGGCATACAAAGCGTAATAATGTTGTGTTCTTTGCAGTACTCCTCAAACTTGTCTGAGTGGTGGCTCTCATGACCATCAAGGACTAACAAGCGATAATGTAATGCTGACTTCTAAACGATAGAAGACACAGAGGTTCTCTCGCGTAAAGGTTTACTTATCAGAGGAGGCAGGGGATCAGACACAAAGGCTTCAAGTAACACGTTACTAGTATATAACAAATACTGTATTGAGTTGAGCACGAAGCTCCTATCTAAGGAAATACTATCTACTTATATAGTGGCGTCGTGCCTAGTGGACTCTTGGGAACTCACTCGAGTCCTCGGAGTCCTGGACTCTTAGGACTCTTCTCATCATCCTGCGAGTCCATCACGTGCCTAGTGGACTCCTGGGAACTCACTCGAGTCCTCGGAGTCCTGGACTCTTAGGACTCTTCTCATCATCCTGCGAGTCCGTCACGTGATACTTTCGGAACTACTATTCCCCGCTGCCCCTCCAGGTACCAGGGCCAGTCTCATGCGACCTCCCTCCTTCCTGTCCTGTAGTTGGCCAGCCTTCTTGTTCCGTCGTAACAGATAACCACCAACACTCCAGGGCTTTGTGTGCTTCTCAAAATGCTGAATCCAATCCATACCTCTCTCGTTTGTAGTCCAGCCATTTTCAGTAACAGCAATTACCCAATCGCTTGGAAATCCACTATTCTCATACCAAGATGCAAGGTGGTTTTTGCCTGCAACAATGACGAATGGCGGCACTGCCCAACCCTAAGAACTAACGCCTTGGATTACTGTAACCCATTCCCGATTGCCAGGCTGTACCTTCTTTGCTTTTGCCCGCCCGTCTGAGCTTGTTACAACAGTAGCAGTTGAGATAACACCCATCATAAACCCAGTCTCATCAAAGTTGTAGATATCTGCTTCATGGATACCATATTTCGCAATTGTGTTACGCACAAGCTCAAACCAGCCACGTATAAGTTCTGGATCTTCACACTTAGCCCTCTCGTAGTCGTATTTGCGCTGGAAGCGTGTCCGGAGCTCTACATGCCGCTTAACAAAGTTTGAAGCCCAACGCGACCCAACGCGTGGCGCGTCGCGTGTTTCAAGTAGTCGATTTGCCATATCTTCAACAATAGACAACTGAGGAGGGAACCCTTTAGCAGCTAAGTCAAGTATATACTGAACAAGAACTGATTCCTCTAGGTTACTTAATTTCCGTAAGTTGGCTTGGATATCGCGTCGTGAAGGTACACCTTGTAAACGGTGACGTAGCTTGCAGTGGTCTACGGAATAGATCCTAGCTGCAACTCGAAGGCGCAAATTTGGGTCGCTTTGCATAGCTTGGATAGCTAGCACTAATTTGCTTTCATCATTTTTATGGCACATGTTTTGTTGTGGAGGAATTTAACATTTAGTTGGGGGGGTTGGTCACCGCATGATTTTGGCACTTTCGCTTGTTTGGCACTTTCGTTATACATGCACGTTATAGGAGTCATCATTTTCGGCATGTTTCAAGCTCGGGGATGTAGTGATACAAGAGATTTTGCTCAACCTACGCGTGTGTCAGCGGCCGAATTTGCACGGTAGAAGTAGACCGTATGGACTCACCGAAAGGTTGTTCTCCTTTGTACTGACTGCGTGGGCATCTTTTAAGACGTTTCTCAACGCATCTCGCAACATCTCTGACTTGATATCAACATGGTATGTGATTTTTGTCGTATCCTTGTCTGGGATGTATTTGTAAGTAGGCGAAATCCACAGTGGGCTGAGAAGCTAACCAATTCGTCCACGAACCACAAACACATATTGATTCAGTTCATCTGCTTCACCCGTTCGCGTGACTGATTCTACGACCTTATACTTGTATGTCTTGGCGTCCCAACTGCATAAACGTTGTTAGCTCCTTCAAGGTTGGACTTGCTACGAAGACTAACACTTCATTGACGGTTTTAAATTCAAGCTTGGAAGCTCGAGCTGGAGGGTCTTCGGCTTCAACTTTGTCTGCGGCAGCGGGCACCGCAGGGGCGCTCTGCATGGAATTGAGAGACTTGAGAACGTCTAAGAACTGTTGGGCGAAAGGCAACAATTCAGACTGATGACAATGAGGGTCTGGAGACGTGGGCTGCATTTTAATAGCGGCGAGAATCTCACTAGCATCCTCATCGCTCATCGTCGGGGAACTGGGTGGGGTGGCTGGCCTTGGACTGGCCAGCGAAAGGCCGATTTGAATCATCTCTGTTGAAGCCATTATCAAAGTGGAATGTTGGCAGCCGGCTTGATATGCGTGGTGGGAGATATAGACAGAAGTAAGTGGTTGAAGATGAGGGTGACTGATGATTCGAAGACTGCAGAGATTTCTGCTTGAACCTCTGGGTAATCGCATGCCCTTATATATTCCTCAATTCTTTGCCCATGTCAATCGAAGACCAAATCTCCCTGTAAGCTAACAACGGCCGGGGAGTTGAGGGAAGCCGATCCTTCTAAGTTTATGATCACCAGCAGCTCATGGTTGCAGCATCATGCATTGGCTCAATGAATAATCAAGCTGGTATGAGGGTGCATCATGCAAATAACGCGGGGTGAAGCACATATCTGCAGGACATGGGGAAGATGCTGACGAGACCGATTCGCCATGCAGTAGTGGGGGAAGCAGCCCATTGATGTGAGACAGCGATAGCATTCGGGCCGTGGATTTTGGACGCAGAGTTTACGAGACATGATTGTGCAGTTCTCCAAGAATGGAATGTCTTCCTTCGAGGCAGCAAGAGGCACTTGATTGAAGCATGGCGCAATGATCCTTGAACCTGGCTGGATATCTTCGCCCTTTCATTATTATGGTAACCAGGGAATTGGTGACGGGAAGGGTTGGGAGAGGCGACACAATAGAAGACATGACGGGACGGGCCCACCGTTGCGATTGGCATTGTTAGGGTAACCGTGGTGGACAAACAGGGTTGAACCTGTCGGATCGGGGAAAAGTTCCCGTAAACCAGGCGGGTACCTGGGGTATCCCCTAGTTTCCAGAGGCAAGCAACTGACCAAATGTTTAGCTTCCAGAAGATGATGAACAGAGCAAGATATTTGTCTCACTGTGATATTCAGCCTTCGGATAATCTCATTACCTGACTAGTCTAGTGGAGGCAACAAGGCATGGCGCCCAATGACGAGATGACACATGATCATGCAAATGGGTATCCCAGTAGGCAGTTTCTGGAAACTAAATAGCAACCTGATGGCTGCCTCTGAGCATGATTAAATCCAAGCGCTCCCCACTTTGAACACAAAATTACCTATTTTACGCCGTCAGTTCCAGAAACTTGTTGCTCTGTAAACATGGCAACGAAGCAGGTACTTGCCACTCACGCCATAGCAGCACTGAAGGAACAAACTAGGAAGTTTGAGGCGATGTCGGTGCAGCTGGCGAAGTCGGCAGATCTCGCGACGAATCAGGCTGCTGAGATTGCGAAGTTGACATTGAGATTGATCAATGCTATGACCAAGATACAGCGAGACACTCAACGAGATGCTACAGCGCGTCGGGAGTGCTTACGTGACAAGCTTCGCAGCCTCGCCGCCCAGGCTGTCTCCACAAAGCGAAAGATACTGGACGCTGCGGAATTGGAATCGTCACGGACCATAAAGGCGAACTTTAGGTTGATATTCGGACCGTCAAGAGAAACAGAATACAAGAGCAGAAGTGCCAAATCTGCGATAGCTACGAACCTCATCAGGATTACTACCATCCGCGGTTTGTGTGAAAGCAACCCTCACAGCGTGATCGCCCTCTCAACCACCTACTCTACCAAAGCCTGGACTGAATCGAGCTCGGATGTTTTTGACGGCGTTATCGAGCTAGTTAAAGTTGAGAAAGAGCAAGATTGGCCAGAGGAGATAGTCGATATAATAGACGAACTGAAAGCGGAAAGACCAATGAGTGCCGAGATTGAGCTGCTTCGCGGTATGACCACCTTTATGTGCACTCTCAGCGTTTTGACTGACCCGTGAGCAGCAACGATCCTCCAGCAGAAGGACCCGCGCCGTCGAAGGATCAGTGACTCTGATGGACCCGCACGGGAGATTGCACCATTGCCGCCAATGCAGACTGGCGAAATGGCTAGTCAGACTGGGCAACACAGCGCCAGAATGAGTATGTGATAATCACCTTGTAACTGTTATCAAGGCTGACCTCAAAACAGCTCAATTGCCAGGTCTACAACAAATGGCACTTATTGCACCATCCTACAATCGCGGTATATAATACTACTTCTTTGCACGGACAAGGCTGATTAAACGACAGATCAAACGCATAGTTGGAATTACAGGCAAGACACAACCACTGATGGTGGGTATAATGGCCCCTTTGTTGACGAACAACGGCAACGGCCGCTTCTTTGCGAGAGCGCACATCACCCCTCTCAACAATATGAGCAAGAGAACCCGGTAGTAGATGATCCACTACCACCATCCAAGGAAAACAGGGGTAAGGAGAACCTTCGCGTATGTACACGGCACTGCTAATAATTTACCACCAGAAATGAAGGATATGTACACAAATGCACTCGCTAGCAATATATCGAAAATGCCAGAACCGTTTAAAACAGCAATCGAGAATAGCCGGCAATGGAAATGGGAAAGAAGTAAAGGATTGCAGACGACAGGATGCTGGCCAAGTTTGTTCCCGAAAGACCAGACACAGGATGTCTCCTTTAGCATTTGGTGTGGTAACGAGGACGGAGAACATCTGACCAAATTCTTCGGTGGAAAAATTGAAATGTCATCCTAAACTTCGAATTTTACGGTAGCGCCTCTGACGTGAACAGAATACCCGGCAGGCACCGTATAACTCTCATATGTGGTTGTAATGGGTTGGTTCATTATATGGGTTTTGTTGTCTCCTGTTTCCTTGTTGTAGATTGAAAGATAATAGCCTTTGAACAATATCGTCCTTTCGCTGGAATTGTCTGGGGGAAAGGTATTAATCTGGATCATTTCATCCGTTCCAACAAGAGCGTCGTCGCCGATCTACAAAGGTACACATGTGTCAGCTATAGGTACTTTGAGGGCGTAAAATGGAAGTTCAAAATATCTGACCGCCATGATCACAAAAAGTGTGCTAAGGATCCTGCCTGCTTATAGATGAATCGGTGGAATGTGACTATCGCCTATATAACATAAGTAGCTGTGGAGTTGGAGATGCTCATCCTGATATTTACCTTGGCTGTTGAAGACGTGGCTGTAGAATGAGGTTGCCTATTTGCGCAAAGGCCGAAGGAAGTGACGAGTCTTCAGAGTTAAAGGCACCCTCTTGTACCTTTGATAGAATATGTTAAGTAGCGGTAGAAGGACGTAAGGTGGGTGCGTCGAGTGGAGAGATAAATCTGATGAAAAATAAATCGCGGAATGGGGATGCTGACGTACGATAGAAGATAGTCGATGGCGGCTGTCCCTCAGTGAAAGTGGTGGGGCTCGATGCCATGTGATTTGCTCAGCAATCCGATACTGGCCGAAATCACCCTGGCCCAGTTAGGCTCCAATGCCTTCAGGCTGGTGATGGGAGAAGGTAGAGATGTGCAGCGTTGGGTGAAATGAAATATATGGAAAAGCGCAAGAGTAAAGCGCAATGACTGCTCCTTAATGATGGCGGAAAAGGAATTTTTTAATGAGGTTGGTTCGGATAGAACAACTGAGTCAGTATCGTCGCTCAGAAATGGCGGAGAGGTTGATGAGGGGCAATGAGGGTTGTTGGTCGATTTACAAGTGGTGGGGCTCGATGCCCATGTGACCTTGCTCAGCAACCAGACAGTGAAGCCCCTGGCACACTTTAGGCTTGAGTGCCTTTCAGGCACGAAAAGATGGACCGAAACACGGTGAAGACTCTATATAATTTAACCATTCGAAATTGTGACGTGATCATCTATGGGCGTGCAGAATATTGTCGAGTGGGTCGCGTGATGGTGACAGGCATTCAACCACAGAGTAGGAAACTATTGAGAGACATTCGAAGGTTCGACGTGCTGGATCACTTTTGGTGTTGGACCAATGAATCACGCGTAACGTCCCAAGGTACGAACATCCAGATAAATTAACCGACTTAACCAATTCCACGTACCGCCAACATGGCGTACTCTGCATCTGAATATTTCGCGCCATTAACTTGACAACACACTACGAAACCAGACTGTTTTGTTACTTTGATCTATTTCACCATTAATTGACCCCCGATGCTCTGATAGTGTCCTCAGAGGGGAGAAATGGCAACCATGGCGGACAAAGACCTGCCTACGATTGAGGAAATCAAAGCAGCTTCAGAGCTTCTCAGTCAACCCAATATGTCCACAAAGGTGGTGAAAATCAACGACAGGATCGCGGTTAAATATGGATGTGCAGTGTCCCTTTTAGAGGCAGAAACCATGAAATTCGTCGCTCTAAACAGCATGGTTCCCGTGCCCAAGGTCTTAGCCGCCTTCGCCGAGGAAGAAACCAGCTTGAAATTCATCGTGATGGAACTCGTCCCGGGCCGCACTCTTGAAGCGTTACTTCCTACTCTTAACGCTAAAGAGAAGGTGGAAGTTTGTACTCTAGTTAAGAATGCAATTGACGAGCTTCGAAGAATCCCGGAACAAAATTATATTGGGGGTGTGAACCGGCAGCCTTTGGACAGTGCAGTTTTCTGGGTGCCTGACCATGATCCCACCATCTCTGGACCTTTCGATACCGAGGCAGATATGAACGAAGGGATGTTAAAGCATCTCGCGCAGAATAATTCGGCCATCTATGTACAGTTTTTACGGGATTTAATAAATGACACATTACATGGTCACAAAACTGTCTTCACCCACGGAGATTTGCAGCCGAAGAATATCATGGTCAACCGAATTAGCAGCCCAGAGGATTCTGAGAGTCGGTTCGAAATCCACTTGATAGACTGGGAGGCAGCTGCGTGGTACCCAGAGTATTGGGAGTTTTGTATCTCAACATTTGGATGCCGCATTAGACACGAATGGCTAGAGCTCACTCGAAATATCTTACAGCAGTATCATCGTGAATATCTCATGATGCAAGTTATTTTCAGCATTGCATACTATTAAGTTACAGGACTGACGAGATACTGAAGATAATATGACCTAACTCTACTCCATCTTCAAAGAATTATATCACAAGATTGCAACCCAGTGTTCTTTGTCAGATGTTCCCAATAGCCTTCTAGCACTTTCCTCTTCCCACGTATGTTGTACCAGCCAAGTATACCCTGAGTCGAAGATTTAACCAAAGCTACTTCTAATGTCAGTTCTATTCGTAGCGATGATGACCATATGCCAAAGTATTCCTTACAGGTATAGTGCAACAATCTATTGATAGATTAACCCATTGCTTCGAGCTGCTGTCTTGACTTCTTCAACCCATTCCCCACAGCGACGGAGTGGCTTGCTGGGGTCAATGCGAGAGCCATTCAGCATCACCTGGCGTGCAGGAGGTGGAATAGATCGACATAGACTGTCCAGCTTCCCCATATCTGCCTGGCCAATTCTACCAACGACCTTCTTCGAGCCAGGCACGAAAGATACCGAATCCTCGGGCTTTTTCCCAAGTTTATTCTCATATATCATTCCGTTAAGGATAGTCCCAACGACGTGGTAAATTTGACCAGAACCGTCACTGCTTGTCTCGACAAAGAGGCCAACGTGGTTTGGGGAGCCCAAATATTCAGCCGTGTAAACGGTGTAAGACATGATTAATAAAATATAGTGAGATAAGCTGATTTGAATGATTGTGGGCGATATATATGTAATAATTGTGAGTGCTTGTGTACCAGTGGGCGTCCAAGAATGCGTTGCTTTATATATAAGCCAGATGCTGAAGAATTGATTCTGATTGAGTTGCTCAAAAATGGCCAGACATCCTTTCCTTCTTATACTTGAATTGTTGCAGTATTCATTCAAGAAGTTCACGAAGGCGGTGCATATTGCCAACGGCGCCTACACACACTTTCTCGAATGTGAAACTTCCCAAAACTCGATCCGCATACCGTAAGGCAGCAAAGCTGTTTGCAATGGTAATAATTCGATGCAATAAATTAGCGCTTTAAGGCCGGCGGCAAAGGGCCAGAAGACCATGGAAATTGTTTCACTAGCCGTTGGAAGTTCAATAGAGCGCGCTTAACCACGAAACGCCCTCTGCAGGGATGTATACCATCTTGTTCTATAGAGCGCTAAATGGAGCGATAATATTAGTGGAACATGCTTCCAACTCTGCTGCCTGCTCGAAACAACAGGCCACAAAGGTCATTTGTAGGAGCGAGTGATGGGCGGTGTTGCCCATGTGGTGCCACGATTTGTTAGACGTGCATGCCTCCTAGTATGAACGAAATATGTGACAAGACAAATTATCGCCGTGTAAGGTGACTTTTCTTGACGCCCCACTCTCCAACCTTCGCACAAGGCCAGCAATCAGAACGAAGCTAACGACAAGCATCACCAGTGCTCTATATTTGGGGAGAGACAATGGAGTCCGCTAGCCGCGCAGTTGAAAGAATGGAGTGGGCCGACGAGGGTTAATCTATTCTCCTAAACACTCTGTCTCTCTGTGGCTCACTCTCTGGCCAGTTAAGGTGTTCGCTTTAACAGACACATCATAAAAAGTATCAACGCGGGAGCGTGCTGGGCTTCTAGGGTAAGCTCTACCGATGGTTGACGGCCTGGTGATCTTTACTTTCATCTGAGGTCGGGGGCGTCAAAAGTGGGTGGGGGACATTGTGGTAATCGATACACTGGGACGTGCATATTATAAAATTAGCCTCGGGGGTTCCTGGTGAGTCATGGAGATTACACAGTACGTCGACGCGGCAGTTGTCGGAGTGACCCGTGTCTACGCGTCTACTCGTCTGCGCGTCAACTGACGCGCATTCACGACAATGAGGATGAAATCCACAATCAGATTGCGGATGTTTCTGGAGCAGAGTTTGACCGAGAACGGCAGTTAAGATATTTCTTTTTAGTTCAGTCTTCGAAGATGTCGTCAGAGATTGAGGCATTGCGTAAAGAGCTTCAGGCAGCGAGGCGAATAGCTCTCCAAGTTCAATAAATGAGGCATTTGACCAGCTTGCTAAAGGAGCTCAAATAATGGCCCATTCATTTACACTCCTTAAAGCTGAAGTCAAGGCGCTACAGCAGGCGAATGCGCTCAAAAAGTGAAGGGCAAACAAGCGAAGGAAGCGTATTCAATTAGGTAGAAGCTTGACAATTGAGGAAGGTGATGAGCTCGTATGGAGTACTCAAACTCAGGAGGAGGAGGGTGGTGATGCCACACAGGGTCAGCACAGGAAAGGGAAACCACCACAATGTGGCACATGTAATCAAGTTGGACATAATGCCCGTACGTGCAAAGAGGTATTAGATTCAATTACTGTAGATAGCTAGAGTGTTTTAAAGGGTTGTTGTTATAATATACCTACGAAGTTGTATTTTGGTGGTTATTTTGCACAGTTCGACCGGGTGCACGGTTCAATTGGGAAATACATTATGCTTTTTAAATTAATCCTTAATAGATTCTTTAGCTATATTATAATATAGATTTAAAGAATCTATTTTATTTTGTCTATAAAGACTAGGAACTTCTTCATCTCTAAAAATAGTTAGTATAATAATATTATAAGAAAATAGAATAACTTAACGTACATGTATAACGAACCGGCCAAACAAGCGAACCGGCCAAAATATCGCGACCACAATACCCCCCAACTAAATGCTAAATTACTCAACAACAAAACATGCCCCAGAAAAATGATGAAAGCCAGTTGATTCTAGCTATCCAAGCTATACAAAGCAACCCAAAGTTACGTCCTCGAGTTGCTGCTAAGATCTATTCTGTTGACCACCGCAAGCTAGGCCGTCGTTTATTAGGCATACCTTCACGACGCGATATTCAAGCCAACTTACGGAAATTAACTAATTTAGAGGAATCAGTCCTTGTTCAATATATACTCAACCTAGCTACCAAAGGGTTTCCTCCTCAGTTGTCTATTGTTGCAGATATGGCAAATCGACTACTTGAAACACGCGACGCGCCACGCGTTGGGTCGCGTTGGGCTTCAAACTTTGTTAAGCGGCGTGTAGAGCTCCGGACACGCTTCCAGCGCAAATACGACTACCAGAGGGCTAAGTGTGAAGATCCAGAACTTATACGTGGCTGGTTTGAGCTTGTGCGTAACACAATTGCGAAATATGGTATCGATGAAGCAGATATCTACAACTTTGATGAGACTGGGTTTATGATGGGTGTTATCTCAACTGCTACTGTTGTAACAAGCTCAGACGGGCGGGCAAAAGCAAAGAAGGTACAGCCTGGCAATCGGGAATGGGTTACAGTAATCCAAGGCGTTAGTTCTCAGGGTTGGGCAGTGCCGCCATTCGTCATTGTTGCAGGCAAAAACCACCTTGCATCTTGGTATGAGAATAGTGGATTTCCAAGCGATTGGGTAATTGCTGTTACTGAAAATGGCTGGACTACAAACGAGAGAGGTATGGATTGGATTCAGCATTTTGAGAAGCACACAAAGCCCTGGAGTGTTGGTGGTTATCGCTTGTTAGTCCTTGATGGTCATGAGAGCCACCACTCAGACAAGTTTGAGGAGTACTGCAAAGAACACAACATTATTACGCTTTGTATGCCTGCTCACTCTTCCCATATACTCCAACCACTTGATGTTGGCTGTTTTAGCCCATTAAAAAGGGCTTATGGTCGGCAAATTGAAGATATGATGCGGGCTCATATTTCTCATATTACTAAGGATGACTTCTTTCCTGCCTTCTATGCTGCATTTAACATTGCAATGACAGAAAGCAACATTCAAGGAGGCTTCCGGGGTGCTGGACTTCTCCCATTCGACCCTGAGAGTGTGATCTCTACACTTGATCTTAAGTTAAAGACACCAACGCCTCCAAGCTCCCGCCCGGGTACTGCTCAACCTTGGGTTTCCCAAACACCAAACAACCCAATTGAAGCCTCATCACAGTCTACCTTCATTAAAAACTGAATTGCGCATCATCAAAATAGCTCTCCAACCTCAATCTATACAGCTGTTGACCAGTTTACAAAGGGTACATCGCAAATAATGCATCAATTAGCATTGTTGAAGGCGGAGAACCAAAACCTGCGACAGGCAAATGAAGTGCTAAGCAAGCGCCGGAGAGCTAAAAAAACACGATTACAGCAAGGAGGATCACTTAGTCAACAAGTAGCACAGGAGCTACAGGACGAGAGGGACGTTGTACAGCAAGTGGAGCAAGAAATAAGGGCGAGTAGTGGTCGGAAGCCAAGGGAAGAAACACGCGCACGTCGCTGTAGCAAGTGTGGTGGGACTGGACATAATGCGCGCACTTGTCAGATTGTAATAGACACATCTGAGGAAGAGGACTCCGAGTAGTTTCAATTGATTTCTAGTGTTGTGGTGGATTTATCGCAATTCCTGTATTGTGGTCGCGATATTTTGGCCGGTTTGCTTGTTTGGCCGGTTCGTTATACATGTACGTTACCCTTTTGAATAAATAAGTAATTCTTTAAAAGATTTACTTATAATAGAATTAATAGAAAGGTTATTAGAAATTATAAAATTAATAATCTCAGTCGCGAGGTATGCCAGGCGGGGTTTGGCGCCCGCCCGATCGGGCAACGCGCGTGCACGGGCCTGCCGCCGCTTTCGAGTTCTATAAAAGGGCCACTCCCTCCCTCCGACTCTGTCCCCCTCCACCGTCGCTCCTCCCTCCCAACATTCTCACACCTGCTGCGCTCATCGTGCGACGCTTGGCCCCCTCCGCCAACTGCATGGCCCCGCCCAACGGATCGCCCTGCTCGGCCTCGCCGCAGCTGAAAACCCGCAGTGTCACATGAACGCTTCGCAGGGCCACAAGATCGATTTACGCCCTTTCCACCGAGCTCTTCGCGATGGCAACGAGCCCTTTGAGCATCGACGTCTAGTCTTCGGATCGGTCAAGATGCGAGATCGAGCTGAGCTGCGTTTTGCTCGAGCTGCCTCTCTTGCGCCCTTCGTCGTCGCCGCGCACATCTGAAGCCTCTTGCGACTGGGCATGCGCAATCTGCCTTGAGAGTGCCTTGCGCGACGACCTAGCCAATCGCAAAAATGCCTCGCGGTGACGTGGCCGGCCTTTGCATAGTCCGACGCGCAGCACCTTTTGCGACATTGCGAGTTACAGCACTGAGCAGCGACGTCTGCCTCAGTCGAGGCTGATCTTCGAGAGAAGGGCCGATTTCTGTTTGCGAGCCAGCTTCTTAGGGGCCTGTACTCACATCCTGGAGATCGAAGGTGGAGATCCCTCTCGAAGGCCATCGCGGCCGCGACCATACATGCGTTGAAGGCTGCGGTTCACCTTCAATTCAAGGTGCTGATACGGGAATACTACCGGGATTGCGGACAAATGGATATGGGGAGTGGGGAGTGGGGAGTGGACAACTATTGCAATCTGGTAGAGTCGTCTGACCTAGGCTTTCAGAGCGATCGCCTTCACAGCACGCATAGTCTGGACATGATTTCTCCTTTTGGCAGCAGAGGGGCCGACCGCAGCGCTTTTAGCTGGAACTGAGACCCCGCTCTTGAGACCGCTCAAGTTGCAACAACCCAATCACCAGAATGCGTCGGGATACGATGTGTCTTGCCTCTCTTTGACGCATATGTCTGGTTGGTGGAATCGGGGTCAAGCATGTAGCGGAAAGTGCA